GGGAGTGTGATAATTTCAATTCTGTATACTACTTACTGAGGTATCTTAAGGGATATAATGTATTGAGCTGTTTGTTTTAGTTCTGTTTTTTGGTTCTGTTTCCTTTTACTGTGAATAACACGAGTGATTATTTTTTATTCTTGTTTGAGTATTGGTATGTAAGAGTTCATTATTATTTGAAGATTTTATCAATTGTTTTTAATAATCACTACATATCTTGATTTAAAATGGTTAGACAGTTGGGACACTGAATGTGATCAGGTGCTGCTTTTTGTATGACTTTTATTTTGTTCGTTAGCTGGAAAGATGTTAATGCAGAGATGTAATTTGGCTTGTGTTTTTTGCATTTCTAGGAGGTTTTGGATATTTGATACCTGTTATTCTGTAATAGTGTCTGTTTAGTTGCTCAGACTAAAGTGGTGCATGCGTTTAGGTTTGTGTTCTTTCTGTTGTTTGTGGTTTTACTTGTGTTCGTGGGGTTTTGTGTGATGGGTGAAGATGTTGGCAAGATGGTGTCAAAATGTTAAATGCTGTTCTCATTTGTGGATCTTTGCACTCTTGTGGAGTGTGCTGTATGCCAACTGACTATTATCATATTTATCATGTTACCCAGTGCAGGGATTTTTATCTGTATATTTGTGCGTCTTTTATCTTATCATGAGATAATTCCATAATTGAGAGATTTTCCTAGGGAGGGTCTATTTTAATAGAACTGATATGTATTACTTGGAAGAAACTACCATGAGGGCCTTGTGTTTCTTGTCAGAATGGCTTGATTCTTTGCCATTGGGGTCTTGTTGAGACTGATCGATAATGAAACAAATTATTCGTGCATCAAAAATGTCAGTTTCACTCTGTCACATTGGCGTGTTAGGTGCCCAAGGCTTTGTGGTTGGTGCCAATAACCGTTGGTGATGTATCCTTGTTATCATGATGTATTTGATTTTTAGTAATTTATTTTGAATTAAAGTGGTTTGACTTAAAATGTATCCTTAAATATTATATAGGTCTGAATTCTGGACTGGGTTACATGTGACAATTTTACTTTTCAATTATACAAGTAGATTGTAAAGGTTATGTGTTAAACCTTCCCTGTTGTTTCTTTGTTTTAGGGGTTCTGTATTCAATGTACAAAGATTACATTGTGAAACCCAGGAGAAGAACGGAAAAGCCTTGAAAGACAAGCTGACATGACCTCTAAGATGGACATTTATTATCCTTTAAATATTACCTCATGTTAAGGGTGTTGAAGGTTTATTTTTACAGAGTGTGATATATTTTGTATGCACACATCCCGTTTGCAGCTCATTTCTACTGTAAATTGGTCTTCCCAATTGAGTACCTCTAATTGGCCTTCCTCTAATGCTCCGTTTCAGCTGAACTCAACTTCACTTTGTTCTTTACTCCCCAATTTCAAATTGTACCGCTGAAAGAATCGCACTCATGCAGGTTGGATACTCCGCTGATCAGGCATGCAGGGAATTGTGTGATCTGCTGTCAGATTCTCAATCAACAATGATTTCGGGATCTTTTCTTTTTTCCCCCAAAATAGAGAACGTTTTGCACTTTTGTAAAATGTCTTAGTGTACGACTTTGGTATAAGTGTTCAGTCCAATTGTTTGGGGGGGTTTTGAAGGTGAATTAATAAAAGCGGTATTTAATTGAATTGTTATGTTTGGATATTTAAAATAAGGGGCCGGGTTTGACCAGACTGTCACATAAATCCAAGGGTTGGGTAGTTTATGATTTTTGTGCAACCCAATTAGGTTTCTGGAAGCGTTTTTAACTCCAACCATTTTCAATCCTTCCAGAAGAAGTGCTGGTTAAATAATCCAAAAATTGGACCTAAGTTTTTGGACTGAGGCTTAAGGCTATATTTAAAACAACTACCAAATAGGAAAAAATCAGACTTTTCTCTTCTTTTTGTCTTTGTCTTACACCAGCAATTTATTTTTATGTAATTATGCAAGTATTTTTGTCAAATGGAAACTGATTTCTTTTCTTTTTTTTAACGGACATCCGAATGCTTAAGGAGTGTGTTATTTAAGGCTTTGCCAACATCTGGTCTCAAACGAGGCCTGTGTTTACACATTATGTAAACAACAAGGTCACAAAAGGTTTGCGACCCACCCATTGGGACTCACCACAGTATCAGATAGTCACACACATTTATAAACTACTCACACAGAAATTAAAGAAGGAACAAAACAGGAAACAAAACCACAAATATCCTTTGTATAAATAAAATGTGTGTTTTTATTTAATAGTTTTTACACAAAATGATTGCAAAAGCCAAGTCTTCTTCTTCACATTTCTGTCATAATCTTGTGATACACTGTGGTCCAATGTTTCAGAAGATTGACAAGTCTTCATGGGACATATGAGACTAGGTTGCTTGGGTACATCTTCACACAATTAATGATCATTATATACTGTAGCCTACCTTGGGATATGCTTAAGTAGATGTCTTGTTAAGTTATTCACCAAGTTGAGTTTTGAATGTTGTGTGAAAATACGGAAATATTTCTTTTCTGGAAATACAAATAAAAGTCTTGTAATTCTAAATGTTTGTGTTTAAACATATTCATAACAAATGTTTCTTTTTAAATGTAGCCTACAGTTCATTACATTTTTATTCTTGTATTATAGGTCATTCTTTCTTGTTTGATACTCCCTGTAAATGGGAAATGTTTAGTCATTGTTTTATTGTGCAACAGTTGGTGTCAAAAAATTCCCTTCACACATTTGAACATTTGCCTTCCTCACCCATCACATGTTAAAACTTCTTTCCTGGACTGATATCTATCAAGCTTTAAAATACTTTCTTGTTGTCCCACCCCAAGATCAACAGGAAATGAAATGTGTAATTTCATGTTGGCAAGAGGCTCTTAAATGCTGTGTCATTGTGACTTTGCACTTCTTGTGAGTGTGCTGATGCCAACTGATATTTATCATGTTACACTATATCATTTATTTACAGTTTTTTTTAATCAAAATAATTCCAATTGAGGATTCCATTGCCATTTTTATGTATACGGTCAAAAAACACCAGAGGCCAATATCTTCCATGACAACACAATACATGTGTGTTTGCATAATAGAGACTGAGACATACCCTTCACTTTGTAATGTATGTCGCCCTCCAATGGTCTTTAAGGATATTGCTTGGTAATAATATTAACATAGGAGAAAAATACTTTTATGCTATGTTGTTCCCAGAGCTACATTATTGCTCTCGCGAGATCTTGTCCTAACTCTCTAGAGTGCCGTTGCTATGGACACAGTAGCGTCGCAATCAGCGAGGAAGGGTTTTTCACATTCGGTTCAAATGGTTGCAAAACAGACTCTAGTGTGTTTAAAAGGACGGTACTTGGACACATACACCACGGGTGAGTTATTTTTCTTAGCTTTTTCAAATTTAACTGAAGCCTACTTAGTAAGAAGTTTGAAGACTCGAATTTGTCATGACATCTGTGTATTCACAGGCACTCATATTATCGTCAACATCAACAGAAGCTTGCTAATTGCTCTTACGAAATCTAGCATAGTGTTTATTTTTGCTTAAAGTTGTCAGTTTCGGTCTGTTAAGGTTCATGCATTTTCAAATAAAGGTCAGTGGGGTCATCAATAACAACCTATGCCTCCTGACAGCCATGGGCTTAGCACAACAAGAAGGAGGTCTTATGTCATTATCTCTGGGAGCTGTAAAGATATGATGGTCTCATGTTTGCTGTAATTCTCACAATAATTACCTTTTTGGCATTTATTTAAAGAAGTTCTTGGATTTGGTCAATGGTAAAATATAGGCAATGAAACTACCAATTGGCAAGCTCGTAAAATGTAGGCCTATTTATTATTTGATTGAGTTAAAACAAACACATGCCAAATCTATTAACTTCAAATCCAGAGCAATATACATAAAAAAACCCATGATATAACTTTAACCAAATGCCCCCACGACTGTTAACTATTTTCCACCTTTATAAGTTGAATTATTTTTTCTTATGCTATAAATCATAGATCATGGAGCATGAGGATGAAATGAAAGACTTACGGCTTCAGTTCCAAGCGCTACAAAAGCAGCAGGAGAAAAGAAAACTGGATCGGACAAAGGAGAAAGAACCAGATAAGCTTAATGTCATTGAAACCCAGGATGATTTGGATCTATCTCAGCAAGGTATTCAGGCAGAGAATGTCGAGCACAGGTGAGTCCTGGCTAAAATATAGTTTTGTATGGTACATTTGTATTTGCTATGAAACTTTATTAATTGCACTAAACATATAAATAAGCATACATTCGAATCAACTATTTATTGTTGAAGAATCATGTTTTCATACTTAGATTGAACCACTGTTATCTATTTAGAGTCTATTTTTCTTAATTACCTCCCTATAGACTACTGCAAGATAAACAACCTTTGCTAGACCAGCTGAGGGAGTTAAAGGATGAAAATAGTCGGCTCTTCAAACTACTGAGTGAGAAAGATTTTGAAATTAAACACCTGAACAAGAAAAGAGAAGAAGAGCGACTGGTATTAGGAGGTAAAACACCAACGCTTTGCACCACAGTAATATAAAGAATGATGGCAGAGCTTCCTTGTGACTTATCCTCTCCTCCATTTAGGCACGTCGGGCCTGGCAGGGGATATCGCAGCCACCAAGATTGTTGAGCTGTCCAAGAAGAATCGAGAGCTTAATGTTGAAATTGAGCGAGAAAAAATTAAATCTAAGCAAAACAGCAACAGAGTCAAAGTGCTTGAGAAGGAGGTAGCTGAGTTTGGTTTTGATTGTGACATTTGATTTGATTTGCGGATTGATGTCACACAAATCCTTACACCTTTAAATTCAATAATTGCTCAAACAAAGATATGTTTTTTAAATTATATTTTTTAAATAATTTTTTACCAAGGATAATATATACGCGTCACATTATGCTTCTCTCTATAGCTGCAGGCGGCGTTGGTGTTCTCTCCACCTGGGCAAAAGATTATTACAAAGTCACAATACAAGACATCAGAAGAATGTGAGGTAAGAATTAATGTGAAAAATTCCCATAACGTTTTTATTTTACAGTAAAGATGGCAACTTATTCTGAATCTCGTGTCATCTGTTCACAAAAGCAGGAACATCCAATGGTGAAATCTCTTCAGGAAAAACTAGCTGCTGCCCAGCTGAAAGCAACTGAGTATCGCAACCAGGTCCAATCTGCCAAACAGGAGCTGAAAGTAGCCCAGAAGGTAGAGTTATGTTATACCTGTAGCTACTCTAATTGAAATGATTAATCAGCATTAACTTCCATATCTAAATATGAACTGTACTGTAGGTTTTAACTAGTGAGATTGGAGAGGAGGTCAACTTTCAGCAATTACTGAACAGCCCTGGGAGCTTTAGAGGTCGATCACAGCAAATAATGGCTCTTCAGACAAGGGTAAGCTGAAACTCATAACAAGCCACCTCAAAGTTCAGTCATTAAGCTAGTCACCGAGTTCAAAATACATTGTATATAAAAAAGCAAAAATATAAATCAAACAATCAAACTCAACATGAACATAACTGGGTGTTGTGCAACAGGTTCGGGACCTGGAGCAGCAGCTGAACCAGTCAACTCAGCAGAGACAGCCAAGCATCCTGAGTTTGGAGGAAGAGCTTTTTGACAAGAAAGTCCTCCAGAAAACCCTTCCTCAAGAGAGGAACCTCAGCTACATCCGCACCATCGAAAAGGAAAAGAGGGAGGCATATGAGGTGTGTATCATGAATTGTAAATGCATTTGAATATGAGTATTTGTTGATGAGACCCTGTTCTTCTTCCAGAGGATCTCAGCGGACTATGAGGCTATCCTGAAGGACCATGAGGATGTGAAGAAAAAGTTGGAAGCCTCTAAAGCCAGGAACAAATCTCTGTCTACCGAAATCAAATCTCTGAAGGTCCAGATCTCCACCCTCCTGGAAAAGGAAAAACATGATAATGAGCTAGTGGATGCCCTGCTGGTAAGGCTATGAGACAAGAGAATAATATCTATGTTAGTACACTTTATATTATTTCTACACACATTTCAGGTTGTAGCTCTGTTAGGGAGACGGTGCGTAACATGATTTATTTGGGGTTTAGCAGCAAATGCTCAATTTAAGGCATCTAATAGTTAACACATCTAATGGCTTATTAAGTACACAGTTCAGATCGTGTTACACAGGCACAAACAATCAATCAATAAATCAAACTTTATTTATACAGCCCAAAATCCCACATTCGACATTTGTCTCCGGGGACTTTAAGGTTTGTTCAGAATATGAAAATGAACAACCTCTGTCCTTCGACCCTCACATAGGACAAGAAAAAACTCCCAAAGAAACCCCACAGTTATTGGGAATAATAAATAAATAAATGATCAGGTCTTTAACATCACATTTAAATTGCTCTTAACAATAACCGCCTCTTCTATTTCTGGTAGAAACAGCAGTCTCAGATGCAGGAGGTGCTGAGACAGCTCGGCCAACAGCAAAATGTCCAGAACCAGGAGACCCCGTCGAGACAACAGCAGAGCAGCGAGCCTTTTCAGCACAACGCTGTCATCCACAGGCTGAGGCAGACCGTGGCTGAGAGAGAGGTCAGAATCAAAGAACTGGAGGACCAAATACAGCAGCTGTCTGTCGAGGTAAAACCACTCAAATGCAAAACTATGGGAATGAAAGACAAACTCAACGATAATGTATTTCAATGAAATGGAACAAAAATGTAATATACGTCCCTTCAAAACTTTGCAATACTTAAAAAAAAAAAATGCATTCATGATATACAATCAATGTTTGCAGCAAGAGAGCGATGAGACAACACTTTGCAGTTCAGGATTTCCGCCTGAAGAGGGAGACATTGACAAAAGAATCACATTTTCAGGGTATGTACAGTAATGAAATGTGTGCTTAGTTATCATTGGATATGCATACATAAAATATTATTTGAATGGAATTAGTCAGATCTTTTAATTGAATCTTAAAGTATTCTTTTTCTGCTAACTGTTACAGTAAGACTTGGTTTTTAAGACATCTTCAAGTCACTCAGACTGTTTTGATTTTGTTTGATGCCTGTTTTTCAGAGAGTCATTTCTTTTTATATTTTTGCAGTTCTGTTTCTAAATTTGGTCATAAACTGGTATTGCCTGCTGTGGGAAGCAGTATAGAATTCAAGTAAGTGGACACCCTGCTACCCTATTTATAACTTGCTACACAATAAATGTGTTGGGCTGAGCAAGTTGTTTTTCAGTCTTGTTTTCAGGCGCTCAAGTTCTTCAAAATGTCCACAATATTCAGCTGATGTGAGCACACTAACGAGTCAGTGTGATGACTATAAAAACCTGTGTGCTCAGAAGGAGAGACTCCATGAGACATGAGTCGCTGAGACTTTGTTTGTTTGCGTGTCTGTTCAATTATTCACATGAGAAACACTGAACCTCTGAGATTATATTTTCATGTGGCTTGTTTTTGTGCATCATAGACATGAAAATGATGCCTCTGATTCACCACCCAAAAATGATTTTAATTTGTGGTTCTTAATACAAGCTCTTTTCAGAGCCATGGATTCTTGACATGGTTTTCTCAGCAGTGCAGGTTGTTATGTATTGCTGACTACTTATCTATTAAGTCTCATTAGTGCATCTCTAAAGTCACCATCGATGAGGGAATGTAATCATTTTAAATACATTTTTAATCAGAGACCTTGCTTAAATATTCCAGAGAAAAAGAGACGAACCAGGAGGAGCGCAGCAAGATCCTCGAAAAGCAGGTGGAGTCGACACAAATCGATCCAAAGTGAGAACTGGACAGTCAGCAAGGGAAACACTGGTATGCAAAGGTCAGTTACAGTGTTTCAAATTCCCTGACTATGTTATAAGTATTATACCCTGTCTATCTTGTTTCTTGCTATCAGAGCCCCTCAGAAGCACTTTTCCCCAGAACCAGTGGGGCAGCAGTCGCCGAGCAACGGGAACTGGTAGATGGTCGGAAAAATTGGTTGTCATTTGTCAACATCTTACTTTAAAAGAAGCAAGATTTTTGCTTTTCCAACTCAAGATTTACACAAGAGGACAGAAAAAATGACGCCTGGCAAATGACATATAGTTTATGGACAGTGCTCATTTCAAGGCCTCATGTTTGGGCAGCAGCGAGATGTCCATGTTGCTTTTGTTTGTTGTCTCCTGGTTGGTCATTTAGCTGGAGGAAACGCAGGCGCTGAGGGCATCGCTAAAGAGCACTCTCCACCATGACCGGCAGCTCTGCAATGACGCGATGAGACAAGCCAAGCATGTTTTCCTGCAGGCTCTGTGACAGCCCAGACTAGACACTAACCAGGGGAACTGGCCGGTCCCTGCTCAGCCTCACTTCCAGCTGAGCCCTACCTTCTCCTGTCATATGTGACACACAGCAGTCTGCAGGAAACAGGCTCTCCTCCTCTGCCACAAAAAACATCACACGGATCCATATGAAACCTTTCAAGACGTTGTGTCCTTTGTGCTTTTGGTGATTTGAGTAGCTCGAGCAGCAGAGCTTTCAAATGTAACCATGGTGTGACAAGTGTTCCTACTGATTACAGACATTTTTGATTCAGATTTTCTCTGCTTGCAGTCACATTTCATTGAAACTCTGCATGTATTTTCCTCTGCGGGTAAACTGAAGTGCATTACATGTATAGAAAGCAACAGTCTGTTTTGTAAGCTATCCGGAATGTCCAATTTAATCAATGGAAGGCAAACCCAATCTTTACCAAATGTTTTGAATATATTGTTTACATTCATGGCTATGACTTTCCTAGAGTTATGAGTTTTGTTTGGCCCCAGATGGTTGTTCATAAATGTGTGACAGGCCAAGCCAAACAGTAAAAACCCCCAGTTAAGTTCCCATACATTTCAATATTACTTTTGAAATATTCCTGCTAATCATTTCTGACTTAAAACCAGATGTGTGGGAATAGTGGTTGAAAATGAATGAGGGCTCAAGCTACACAAACTCCCACTGTAGTCCTCCGTACAGTCCCCAGAGCGTGTCACATGTATGTACAGAATGCACACCTCGCTCCTCAACCCAAAGGTTGCTTTGGACGTGCGCAGCCTGGTGGGACTGCGCTCCACATTCATACTAACATCCGAGTTATTTTCTTCCGATGTAGCCAAAAGGATTTCAGCAGAAACCCCCCTTCCACCTTTCCTCTCCCTCCACATCACGCTTAATTTAAAACCATGGCTGAGTTAGTGTGCTGCTTCAAATACCGCACTATTTCTTCCAGGACCCTGTGGGAGATTGGCAGGTCCCCATTGGACTGAGCGAGAAAAGTGCCACAAGACAAAAATATCAGAGTTTGGATGTGATGAAGAAAGCCTTTATGCTCAGAGTAACAAAAAACTGCTTGTGTTAAATACCTCCTGGATAGAAGGTGAGGCATGCTTTAATGTAGTAGAGGGAGATGTCATTGTAGGAACAGATGAGATACCATTAGCTTCATGACTGCATGCCTTGCAGGATTGCCTAATACATATAATGTTTTCGAAATGTGCGTGAGAAAAGGTGTTGGTGGAAATACGTGTCATGGTCCCTTCCTGCATTCAATTCAAGAGAAAATGTTGAACTTAACACATTTTTGTTTAGGCGTGCTTTAAATTGTCTGCAGACAATCTTGGCTCTCTTGTAAAATAGATTTTTAACTTAAATAATCTAATAATATACAACCTCATAAATCAGTTTTGTAGAGCATATCAAATAATTTCTCAAACATTTAATACAAAGCTTATATTTGTTGATAGAGAGATATTACAAGCTATTGGATCTGAATTCAAGCTCTTTGCCGTTCGATATTAATTTCACTGTTTAATTTCAGTCACAAATGAATGTCACAGATAATGTGACTACTCTGGTTGATTTAATTTTTTTAATAGTGTCATCACTTTCAAATAAATTACACTTCCCCAAACAATTTTAATATCGTTTTATGTAGCTGTATTACGCAGAAAGGTGTAGATTTATTCCAAAATGCCCAATAACCCACCAAACCAAACACAAACTTATGTAAACACAGCATACGTAAACAGCCTCACCTATTTGTCATTCCAGCTTTGAATGACTCCTTTCTCCATCCTTCTCCTCAGAGGTATTCCCTCGTTCTGGACCAATGCTTCCTGCAGACCATTGACTGCATCCAGAAACTAAAGTAAATAGTGGAGCCGTGAACGCAGAGGTTAAAGTTAGCCATCAGTATATGAGGGTTCTGTGAACTTTACTCAGGCCAGCAAACGGTTTGTGCCTCTATGAGTCCATTCATCTCCTATGCCTCTCATTTACATGTAATGGAAAGAAAATAAACAGCGGTGTCCTAATGTGCTCATTTACAGTAAGTAGAAATAAAGTAATGGGCTGTTATCTTTACTAAGCTAGTGGTGAAACACTGATAAGCTCAACAAGTGAAATGTTGATCATAGTGTATGTAAAGCAGGAGTGGAATTGTTGCTGACAATGACTTCTACAATAAAGTATGATGGCGTTTTACTACAATCACCCACAAATGTGTATTTGAATCTCTGTAAGCAACGTTGGCTTTAAAAAAAATGAAGTTTGTATCATGTCAATACAGCATGCTCTTATTTGGGATAGG